TTACTTTCATAAAATATGAGCTCAACCAAAATTGTGAGGCACAGATCATTGCATTTCCAGTCAATTCAAATTCTGATTATTAGGTAAATAAAGATATAACTAGGTATATTCTGATCTACACTGATCACGTTTAAATTTAGTAATAGGCACCATTCCTGCTTCTTTCTCCAGGACAACCCTTCTCTTCACAAACATGAAGAGCTGGGGAGAATAATTAAAAACTTAATTTATCTTTTCACTGATACGTAGATAATGATTCCCAGAACCGTGGCAATAATAATTGCAGTGACCAAGAGGCAAAGTATTTTTCGTCTGTACTTGTTCTGAAAATAAAGGGGTCATATTAGACTGTGTTTATAAATTAAGAGAATGGCACAAATGAAAACTCCTCTTGGAAGGAGAACAAACAAATTTGACTTACTTGATATCCAGCTGCTTTCTGAAGTTCTTGTCTTCCTAATTCAACATTACCATGAACATTTTCAATGTTATCTTCAATGGAACCTGTATTTACAATCATGATTAGTTAATATTAAATAACAATTTTTCAAAGTGAAAACAAAAATTCGTGCACTTTTTCACTTACCAACAGTTTCACCCTGCTGATGCACCATAGCACTTAATTCCCTCATAATTTGATTGACATCGATAATATCATTCTCAATTGCTTGAATTCGTTGCACTCGCTCTTCCATCAAACCAGATTCAAATTCAAGCTCTCGCTGCTTTAGCTTTTGTTCTTGTTGCCTTCTTTCCATCGCTAGTAGTCGCTCTGATTCATCCTCAGTAGCATCAACATCAGGGCTTCCAGGAACAATTGCTGGTATGTGTAGCTTCATTTTCTCAGATATTTGCTAAAAACAGAAAAAAATGTTTGAAAACCTCAAGTTTGACTTCTTACTTTCATTGAAAAAGTTTCCCTTTCACAAGATAAAAATTATAGGAGGACAATCTATACCTTTTGAGCACTGCAGTAGTTCGTGACAGCCTGGGAGAATTCTTCCCTAAGACGCTCTGCTTGCAATTTCTGCTGTCTGTTTCCTCGCCTGACAACTTCAGTGTGACGTGCTAACTCATGTGTTGTTTGCTTAATTAACTCATTGCAACTAACATGAGTATTATGTCTGTAAGGAAAACGGTAATAAAGGGCTCAATCCTAACTTTTTTCTAAATACTTTAGATAGTAAATTAATACAATACATACATCTGATCTCGCAGGCCTTGAGTATCTTTAAAAGTACCAATGGAGCGCAACTCCCGTTCTACTTCTTTCCGCCCATTATTAATTTTGTAAATATTTGTTGTTATGTTTTCACAGAGATTAAACAACTCAGTTGGACTGAACTGAGATACATTACTGTCACCTGCTAGACCACCACCTGCAAGACCCCCTCCAGCCAGTCCACTCTGAGCAAGTCCCCCAGCAAAGGAAACAGCCGGTACTCCGTCTGTTGCTCCATAACGTCGCTGATTACCACTCCCTGCTAAGCCTTGATCCATTTTCTTGGCCCTGTAAACAAACAAGACAAGGAATGACTTTTAAAATTACAATAACTTGGAACTAAGACTGAAAGCTAGTGAATACAAGTTCCAGCAATATGTAAAATTCTAACAAAAAATATTTATGATTTATATGTAAGTGTATGATTACTATTATAAAAGAATGAAACGTAATGCATGATGACCATACTCATTAGTGTAACATTATATTTAGTACTATTTGGGTAACAGAAAGGATGGGTTAAGTGTCAGATTAGCAATAAATAAATACCATCAAAGAGAAAATCCAGGACAACTGTAAAAAGATGGTTTGACTACTATCCCTGCATACTGATGTCATTCTCCAGGAAATTGATAAGAAGTACTTATTATGTAACCGAACGATAGGTGGGTTCTGACAACACAAAGACCTCCAGGTTCCAGGAGAGTGCATGGGCTGAAAACTAGAGACTTGACTTACCTGACGAACAATCACTGTCATGCAAATTTGAGAGGATAAATGTACAGGCAGACTGGGACGAGCCGAAAACACCAGCTTCCAGGAACCGCAGTTACTCGACTCACTCCTTGTTCTTGTTACAACTTGACGGAAGATGGGCTGATTCAGCCCCCCACTCCCCCTTCCCCCACTCCGCCCCCTTCCACCTCCAGTCAGCCGGAGCTAGCCTCCGACCCCCCTGGCGTGGCGGACATCGGAACAACTGCTATCTGAAGATAACCGATTGGAAATTTCTGCGGATATTTTCCTCGGCAGCTGATATATTACATGTAAAATTCAACCAAGCACACTGTTCTGATGGTGTGTATTGGAAAAGGTAGCCTGTCGTCGAGTCTTACTGGAAACTGTGAACGTAAATTTGTCATATACTTCCCTATAGCCTCGCTGCAGGTCAGTCGAGGCTATTTCAAAACTTTTACTGTAATTCCCCCCTCCCCCTTCCCTTTCCTCCCTTCCCATATTTAACCTCGCTCCTCCCTTCGATTGGACAGAAACTTGTTTATTTTGTTGCGGGGAGCACGCAGACATTTGACAGTCCTTGCGAACCGTCAGGAACATTTACAGGTTTCTTGGCTGCTGCAGAGAGTCCCTTTGCTCACGTGCTGGTCCAATTATCGCCATGGAAATGGAGGTAGATTGTCAGGATTCGAGCCCCAGGGTTTTGGTCGAGTCGGCTCCGGGGAGCCCAGATAAATCTTCTAAAGAGCGTATGCTGGACATTTTGGACAAGATTGAACTGCGGGTCGAGCGTCTTCGACAAGAAGCCTGTCGCCTGGAGGAAGAGAAGGATAAGGTTCTGACTACTCTTGTTGCCCTACGCAATTCTGACATGCTTCAAAATCTAGGTGCTGGTAAGTCATTTATAATAGTAAATTCTTTATGCGCAATGAACACTTTGATATTATCTAAATTTTAGCCAATTTACATTTCACCTTTTTATGAGGCTAATACTACAATATACATGTGTCTTTCTAAAGTCAGAAAGTTCAGTACTGTACCGTTCTTTGTTTTCTAATTGCAGGAGAGCGTGAAGATGTCCTCCGTTACGCTGATCGAGTTACTTCTAGATGCCTGACTGTTGAGGTGCCCATGAAAATTGAAAGGGATGAAGCTCAGGAGGAGTCTCTACATGTGGTTAGTTTTCTATTTGATTGAAACACATTCCTTTTCCATCAAATAAATATTCATAATAATAAAATGACTATTTGTTTTCCTACAGGTAAACAGCATGATAGATGCATTGGTGGTACAGCTTCGAGCAGACCCTGGTGGTTCTCGACAACAGTGCCTCACATATTTGAATGCTTGTTCTTCCTCTGTGGAGCAGGATGTTACTGATAAAACCTTTGAAGCTACTGTACTGGCATGTTCTGTTGATGATCAGAAACATATTCAAAAACGGTTGCAAGGTCTACTGAACTACATAGACAAGAATACCTAAAATTGATAGATTTTCTTAATCCATTGCATTTGGAATATCATGATCAGCTATCTCCTTCTTTGTGAGTGCTGGACATGTAACTGCTTTTCAATTGCATTTGAAATGCTGAAAATTCAGCTGAGCTGTTTTCTTCCATTGTTTTAGTTCTCTAAGCTCACAAAAAGTGCTTTGCTTTTATTTTCCAATTTCTTAAATATTGTGAGAATTAATTTACACCAGCCTTGTTCTCATATTTTGTAGGGTTGTGTTAAAAGGGCTAATCATTGTATTGCTAAAGAAATAATTCCATTACTACATATCTAACTTATTAATAATTTTGAGTGATAAATATCAATGACTCGTGTGATCTTTAGCCACTATGTTAAGATAGTTCACCCTCTTAATTTTCATTGTTTGAGTGTTCTGTTTCTTTAATTTTTTGTTAAGTTAAGTAAAACTAGGTCAATACCCAAATCATTTGGTAATGTTAGTGTTGGTATTGGTGTTGAATGGTATTGCAGACCAGTTTAAAATTTCAATGGGTCCAAAACTCTCTTTGAAGGCAAAAAGAGATCTTGTTTTCTCTCTTGCTCTATGAATAAAAAAAACCTGTAAGCTTTCAACTAAAGCACTTATTTTGTTCTGTTTCAGGAAGCACAGACTGATAAATATGGTATTTATAATTGGTCAGCAAATGGAAATAAGAATTTGTTTGCTCTCTGATTGTGAAGGGATTAAATTTAACTCCTCTTACTAGCGATTTATATTCTCTAATATAACTGGGAGATTTTCTCAATAACTGTGTTAATATGTGATTTATCTAGGTATCTTTCTCTTTCATTGTGAGTGTAATTTTGAAGATTTTTGTTCTGTGATACCTGTGGAAGTTAGTTAAAATGACCATGAAGAATTGGCCGTGGCCGTCAAGTAGGAGGGTGTTGGTTCTAGAGCAACTCAATTTTTGTGTTCATGTAGAAGTAGTATAGTTTGGTGGTCCTAGTCTTTTTATACACAGCTCAGGAATAAGTTCCTTCTCTGATTAAGTTGTGTTTAATAGCGTTTGCAATATGTTCCGTTCGCCCACTTATTTATCTAGATGATGCATTTCACAAGAGGCTGTATGTATTACATATCTATTTCATCTACCTCTCTCGTTTATTATGCTGACCATCGACCATGATGCTGTTCTGTTTTTGAACATGGTTGAATTCAATTTGTATGGCCTTTGTTTCTATAAGATTAGGACTCAATGTTGCCCTTCTTAACTGAATTTGCATTAATCTTAACTTTTCTCTTTTATGTTCATATTTAATTCATAAAAATAAAAATATGAAACTTTATTGAATTTAGTTTGTGGTAACTCTTACATTGAAAAATCTCACAAGAACTGTGGCAGGCAGTGAGATTGTTGATATAATCTTACACATGCCTAATTTTACACGCCATAGGGGGCACGCTGGATGCAACTGGGTTTAGGGCAAGGAGGTGTATAGGCTCGGGAGAGCTGAAGAGACTGTCTACACCAATTAAAAGTTAAGTAGATGGAATTTTAATTAGAAGTCATATAACTAATCTATACTTCTGGAGGCTTGAGTCGAGTCAGGTACGTATATAAGAGTAACAAATCAATGACAACTTTACCAATAATCATTTATATCCAGATATGTATCAAAGAAACAGACAATGTACAACATGCTTAAAAATATCCAGAGCAATCACAATGAGGAATGGACCACAATTCATGCATGACACTACATGACGTTTGGCCCATCATGTGAACCTATGAAGTTAACACAGGACGCACACACACATGCACACACTCTCTCACACTCACAACTACGCATACACACTGAGCACTGAAAATGAGCACCATCATCATAAAATTCGGCAAGCGTTCTTTAGAACATTTCTCTTGCGATGTCTTCTGGGCTTCCCGGAACGTAGGATTATCGTCCCATTCTGATGAGACTTTCCGTTTTGATTGGTTGGTCCGAAGGCACCTGCAACAGACAATGGTCGCCGTTAGTCACGTTCCTGCAGGGGGGGGGGGGGGGCATGAAACGTCACGGGAGAGATAGCCGGGTAAATGTGGAGTATGGATACGATGGACGTACTGATGGTGAGCGGGTGCAGCCCGTTCCCGTTCATGGCGTAGTCGTCGTCCTGCTGCCGCATCTCCTGGAGACAGCACGCGGCCAGGTGCCGAAACACGGCGTTGACGTTGACGTCCTCCTTGACGGAGGTCCGGATGAGCCGACAGCCCAGCGCCCTGGACAGCAGGTCCGCCTCCTCCCTGTGGCGGGGCAAAAGAGGGCGTTTGGAAATCCGGGGCCAAGATTCACAGAACCCACACTATACCCAGTCGACAACAACGTACGGGTCGACGACGCTCTGGTCCAGCAGGTCAATCTTGTTCTGCACCAGCACGGTGGGGATGTCCCCGCACTCGTCCTCCACCTTCATCTTCCAGGACGTGGCCGCCTCGAACGAGTCGCGGTCCACGGTGGAGAAGGCCAGGACGCACGCCTGCGCGCCCCGGTAGTAGGCCTTGGTGATGGCGTCGAACTCCTCCTGGCCCGCCGTGTCCCAGAGCATGAGGCGCACCTCCTCTCCGTCCAGCCTGCAACAAGGATACGAGACCGCTGTGAGTCATGGGGCCGCTTAGGGGGTCCTAGCAAAGGGTACTTCACTAAAAAAGAATTAGAGAACATCCGCCCCCCCCCCCTCCAAAAAAAAATCAGGGAAAATCTGACAAAATTAATAATCACTAAAATTCAGAGAAATCAAGAAAAAGCAGAAAGATTGCGTACGCTTTGAATTGAAAGTGAAGTACCCTTCGGGTACTAGGACATGGCGTGCGTCCATACGGCCTTAACGAGGTAATCCATCCTGAGCCCAACGGGCCGTGGGTCCCGGTGGGCCTCGGTGGGTCCCGGTGGGCCCCGGAGGGTCCCGCCGCAGAGTATTGACGGACTTTCACACGAGTCATCAGCCCAGCCCGCGGCCCAGCCAGCCGCGCGACGCCCCACTTCGACCACCACTCGGCTAATTGCGAGGAGGGAATTCCTTCGACGAGGGCCTCGGGCCTCAGGGAGGAGCCCCCC